ATGTCGGCGGACTGAGCCGGAGGCTGTAAAGTATTAATATATCGAAGGTGTATATATACAAACATATCTATATATATATATAGAATGTGTATATATATATACACATACATATTAATAATAATCATTATTATGTCGTTTTGAGGGTACCCAGTCTGGGATTGGTTTTCGAAAATTCAAGTCCCCTTTCGAGCGCAGTCCTTGTTGGTTGTTGGGGACACTGCTCCAAACGAAGTTGAGCCCGTGGCAACCCCAACTTGCATCTACTTCGCAGTCAATAAATCTCACACCGAGTCCGAATGCCTTCAGCACCCATCTTCCCGGTCCATTAACGCAGTCTGCATTCTAAACGTCCAAGATCCAAATCCGGAAGTACTCCGTGGTTGAATTGATGATCACTCACATACTCAAGACGGGCTCTGCAAGAATCCACATGGACCCTGAATCCCCCCAACACAGACTGATGGAGTGCCTCTTTTCAAAAGTGGTTTTTTTGAGGGTAGCCGTAGTTCCAGTTGTTCTTGGCCAAGTATTTTCATCCGTGTTTTTTTTGAGAAACAATTACATTAAATTCTCATTGGAATTGTTGAAAGAGAAACAAAATCAGCAGAGACTTCAAATTTTGACATTTGCTCACAAGCCGCAGTGCTCCCGCATCTCGGTCCCATACCTTGGCACTCTGCGAGCGAGACACCCTTGTGGGCCCTTGGTGCCCTTGGTATACTTTGAGTTCATGCTTGCGGTGCTAAAAGGGGACCTCCTTATTAAAGGGTGGACTTTCCAAGAAACAACTTGACCTTCCATGGGGTCTGCTCGTGCCGGCATCCAACAATATTTTGAGATTGTAGGTTGTTTCTGCCAAATGGCGGGGCCCAAGAGCCTTGTTTTTTGATAACTGCCTACAACAGGGCTAATTAATTACGCAAGAAGCTTGCATACACGGCTGCTTGCGGCATGCAGACTCACAGGAGCGCACTCTTTGTCGGCTCTTACGAAACCATCAGCAGGCTAGTTTTGAATCATCATCAATACTGATGAATACGAGTACCAAACACTCATCCTCTGGCTTAGCTGAAACCACGCGCTCTCGTAATGGACATTGAATCGTGGGGTGAGCCAAGTTCTTTCTTTGTGCATGACCAGGTCGGGATTCGTTGCAATGCCCAATCAGAGGGCATGCCACCGGGCATGTTGTGCTGTACGTTTTCTGAAGCGCCCGAAATCAGACGTGGTGCCCTTGGATTCGTTGGTCAGAAAAGCTCAACCCCCTGTCCCCCTGTTAGGTGGACAGCTCCCTGAGCCAGAAAATGAAAAACAATCAAAGATCCAGCCGTGAAACGGCATCCCAGGTCTCTTCCTGGAGCGCCCCAGGAATTCCCTCCTCCTGGCAATGAGTGAAAACCTGACATGCCCACCTGAACCAAGGCAACACCGAATGGCCCGGACTGTCCCTTGCCCTCAGGTTTTGATTGCGGCTCTGGGGCTCCTGGAAAAGTCTCTCTCGCGGAGCGAGTGGGGATTCAGGGGAGGTGAACTAGACAACTAAGCGCGTATATGGTCTTCACGAAGCCTTCTTGTTGGAAAGAGGGCAAATTTGATCAACAGCTGAACACAAGCAGGCTTGGCTTCCAAAAAAGGCAGACATGCAACATCGATACTAATTATGTGACGCTGTGCCGGGCTGTGCCACTTAGAAATATTACTCCCAAGTCCCTGAGAACAATACTGCTTGGGGTGCAGTTGGGTTTTCTGAGCTCAAGGACTGGACAGATCCCTGGAAGTCTGTTTGCAGCGGGATTCGGCAAATTAAGACCCCCAGCAAGTCGGACCACAGTCACCTTCTGTCGTGGATCGAGACTTCTACGTCTGGCATCATCCCTTCGCATCTAGCAGGCTCAATGGTACTACATGCCCAAACCAAACATTCCGTCGGACCTATACTGTCTGGGCGATCTCTGATACTGTCCAAATCACGCGGGTAGGGCTCTACTCTCATTATGGAATTGCTTGAAGAAGGGAACGGAGATACACCTTGCTTGAAGACTCACAGCGCATATCTGTGCATATCTGTGCATTTGAACTTCACATTCATCTTGCATTCAAACCGGCTTAAACAAGTACAACTCCAAAGGCCATTATTGTTGTCTAGTCTATCGTTGATCAGAATCAAGCGTACCGTAAGCCTGGCGGGGGAGGAGGACAAGTGCATGTAGAATCGAATGCACTATGTATAGTTGTAGTTATATATATATATCGGCAGACACATATATGTCCATACAATATGTACATTTGCGCATAGCTACCCTCATGAGCAAGCCCTGGGATGAGTGCGGTCCTTGCTAAGTTCCGCCCAAGGCGTCTCTTTCTCTCCCCGGACCACCAGCTTGCACCTGCCCTTGTTGCCTGCAGAGAGCATCCGTAAATGGCACAGACACGCAGCGAGATACAGAACCACCTGAAATTTCCTTCAGCAACATCAGAAGATCATGTTGACACATGAGTAATCTGCCTCCGATGGTAGACTCTGTCCAAAAAGCATGGGGGTGCGGGCGATCAGCTTAAGAAGACAGGTAGGATTCCAAAACTCTGCCGTCAGCTTCCATTCTTGAAGGGAAGCTCAGAATTTGTTGATGCCCGACAAGCTGAAGTGTCCAAGATGAGGCACCCTCGGTTCATCCAGCTTGACAAAATGGTGCCACAGCTTGTGGTAGGACAACTAGGGACAAGCGGTTTGAGTTTCCCTGCGGGCAGCCATCCTGAATCCTGAAGGGAAGTGTTGGAAGCTCAGAATCCAGATGTCTGACTCCACAGAACTCCTTCTCAGTTGTTGAAGGGATGTCGGTCCTAAATTACTCCAAAATGCGGACTCAGGCAAAGGGGAGAAACGACCTTGCTTCACTCTGCTGCATCCAACAATGTTTCCGACGATCATCCAACATGGTACCATACATCCCAAAGCTGCGCTTAGTTAGTTGACTAGCTGCTGCAAACGTGCGTCCAGAAATCGTGGCCGACCCTCACTTGTGCGTCTGAACAAATCTTAAGCCATGACCACTACAACCAGTGGAAGAAGGAATCCTAGTGGACCTCAGGTAAGGTTGTAACCGCAGAAGTTGTAACTGCAGAAGTCCTTCTGATTCACCGTGGAGAAGTGGCTTGCACAAATCAAATCATGTTCGGTCAACCAACTCGTCACTAAATGTCAGTGCTCTGGGACAAGCGTAATCATGGCACAGTTCGACCTTCTGGAGGTGCCGAAAACGCAGAATTGCAAAAAAAACAACACTGAACCTTGCCTGCAGTAGGCAAGCAGCGTACAGCATGTATCTGCACTTGTACCTCGGCACTCCAACGTAAACCCGGCAACAGAATATTGCAAAATTCCTAATTTACCGTTCTATGGTGGCCGCTGGACACAGAAGACCTGAACTTCATGATGCATTGCGCACACACACACACACATACGAAGGCACGCGCACACACACGCACGCACGCAGGCACGCATTCACGCACGCAACACAAGCACAGTCAAAATCAACCAAGGAGACACATCCCCATTCAAGTAACAGCATATCCCAGCTGATCGGGAATATGCCAAACCAGCGCATCCCTCTAAATGATTGGCAAAATGTGGGCTTCCTCTCATCGAGCAAACAAGAGTTTTTGGGTGGCCTTTGCCACTTATGATCTCCTCGAATCCGTCCAGGTGGCTTCTTGCTGGGGAGGAAGTGTCACAGACTCCGACGCCTGGGAGGTTGCGGAAACGGTTTTCAAAGGCAGGTTCGGAGAGGAACTCGAGTGTGTCGGTTAGGTATCAACTGAGTATCGGCTCGGGTCCTGCAAGTTCCGACTCCAGAACCTCGGCTTAGCGACAATTGCGGGTGTTATCTCTGCCTCCTATAGCTTCTCAGTAACACAGGGTGCAACTCGCACCCAAGACCATTCGAACCAACTGTGTCAGTCTTCATGTCGTTTGAGGGATCGCTTTTTTTCCTTCCCTCAGCATCGGTTTACAATGGCTTGGGCCTGCGAAACAAGTTGAACAACGGCGTACACAACTACAAGGAGGGTTTAAACAAAAAAAACAACCCACATCTAGCATCACCAATTGAAACCACCCATATAGCATCCCCTCAGGGTCAACTTCTAGTCGGACCTTGTGTGTCGGACTGGGAAAAGAACGTGTCCAGCCTCTACGCGACAGTCAAGGGCCCACTCAGGAGATAGCACGTGACCTTCCTCCTCCTCACCTTCCTGCGAAGGGCACGTCGGGATTGAACCCATCTGTAATCGGGCTGTCTTACCTTTGGGTTTGCCTTTCGCTTGCCAAGGGTAGGTGGCTAAAGGTCATTTGGGTTTGTCTCATAGGTAAATCCCTCAAGCGGTATCCCATGACGGAGCACTTTCTTCAATTTCCCCACATCAAGGGGGGAAAATTGGCAGTGAAGAGTTTGCCCTTTGGCGGTAAAGGACGTGCAGCACAAGCACTTGGAAATACCAGTGCTCGGCGGAGCCTGTGATGTTCGTATTGGTTAAACTCGGCAGGCCTCATATCAGCCTTCTAAGACACATTGGTCACGAGTGTCACAAATCATTTACCAATCCTATTCTCTGTCAGGCATGCAAGCAGAGTCATTCAACGATGACACATCTCAGCAAACCTGCAGGTGAGATATGAAGGTGAACAGCCTTCATGCATAATTTACGTTCTGAGCTTCCATATTTTCAGTGCCTTCAGGGGGATTCCCTTTTCTAACCATTCCTTCGTCCGATGGACAAGGGAGCGCACCTTGGTCTTTTGGAGCTGTGCGTTGGCCTCGCGCAACTCACGGAGCTCCGCGGCCTCAACTCCCACCCTTCCCCCCAACCCCTTGACACTCCCCCATCCCAACCACTCACCACGCTTCTACCCTTGCCCGTCTCCTTCTCCATGGAGGTGTCATTTTCCTCCATATCCCTTCAACCCTCAGATCTTGCAGGTACCCTCAGAAGGGTCAGGGATGTGCTAACCACCTGTTCAAACAAGTTTAAGTCAATATTGTCCCAACATGCTTTAGTCTCCCCGTGAAGGTTTGGACCCAAACAGTTGCCAATCCTGGGAAAGGTGTTCTCAAGTCATCTCAAGCGAGCAGCGTGCTGTTTGCAGAGCTCTGCAACCAGCTGCTCGAAGCGATCCGACGCCATGGAGCGCTGGCGCGCCACGTTCCGAGGGATTGATCCACCGCGCCTTCAGCACGAAATCGAGTTGGTTGGATTTTTGAAGATCAGACATGATGTTCGTAGTCCATGCATTTTATCCGCCCGTACTTGAGGGTGTTGCCTATTATCGTATGGCCCTGCCCTGGTGAAGCGGAAGCCCTTGTTGGACAGCCACGGCTTTGTACACCAACAAATGCAACCGGCACTCTGCATTCTCTGGAGCCAGCATGCTCGAGCTACATCGGACTTGCAGACCGGGAAAGCCTGGCAGCATGATTACAGGCAATGGATTGGTATAATTAATGTGCTAGCGACACTGTATATAGACATGCGTTGTGATACTATTGCTAGAATCTCTACAAATACGTGTATATATATAAACATGATATGCATAGGATATTCAATCTGCAAGTAGCGGACTGAATCCTTCAGCACACCAACGCTCTAGATTATTCGCAGCATTGGCCTTGGCGCTGGGTGCCGCAAGAACTGGGGGACAAGAACTGGGTGCTGAACTAAAAAAGCAGCCGGATTGAGACGCTTGCTGATGTTTACTGGCCCAGGCCGATTTTGACATTTGTGGCTGGTCCATTTACTTCCGTTTGGGTAGGTCCCGCGGACAAAAAAACAGTAGTGATAGATTCGAAGAAAGCCAACCCCAAGAAGAAACAAACATTCTTAAGCAAATGGAAGTTTCTGGAGCAGTGGGAGCAAGCAAAAGAGCCCGTCTCAAACAAGTCTTCCCACTCAACACCATCTGGGCTCCCTGCCCGAGGGTCTTAGAGGCCTCAGCGAGCGTCTCACTTGAGACAAGCCGGCAAAGGCGCCCGTCGGCCGAAACTCCAGGAAGACATGGGTAGGCTTGCATGAACTGGACTACACCTGGTGGTTTGGTCCGACCAAAGCCAGATCACAAAGAGGTGTAGCCATCGAACAAAAACAGACAAGGAATGCGGTTTTCAACCTTCGCCCAACACTTAATGGTTTGTCTGATGCTCCCATCTTCAAGCAACATGTGCTCAATGCATGTATCATGTAAGGGACCAACCCGCCCCCACGGTTGCAGGCAAACTGCAACCAAAGTAGATTCATATTCGATGACGGAAGCAACAGGAAAGCCTGCGCCGCAACTGCCCACCAGTGGGCATCTCACTTCTTACTAGCCAGCAGCATGTAGCGCAGGAATTTCCAAGGTTTCTGGGGTGCCTGCTAAAAGTATCGATACAGCACTCGCAGGATATCCCAAAGCATTCAGGAATTTAGTGACTTGCCCAACAATTATCGACCGTTTGTACCCGTGGGGGTGCCTTACTCCCTCATGACGGGATGGCTCCCGAAAGGACACTCGGCAACCTATCAAACAGTACTTCAGACTGAGGTTCATAGGTTTCCGGCGAAATCCGATGCTACAGCTTCGCAAATTCCGAACTCAGCCATGCTTAACTCCCCAAACCCCCAGTCGCCATGGGAAAAACGCCTTGGGAACCAAATGTAACCCTCCAAAAACGGAAAAAGGACACCACCAAAAACAAAGGAATCCCAAAGGAAGAAACCAAATGTCCAGGGCCCCGAGCGCACCGTTGACCAAAACTTTTCTCTCATTCTGAATGGACGCAAGGTCCTTGCACGCGAGGGGTCAAAAATCCGCCGACCCTCTGCCTCCCGTCCCAGCCTCCTGCAGAGGGGACCGGCGTGGGATGCAACTGGAAGTGATTGGAATCAATGATAGTCCCTGGGGGACACGCCCGAACCCACAAAAAGTGGATTCCCAGGACCGGTCCCGGGTCCCAGGACCTGGGACTGTCCCAGTCCTGGGACTGGTCCTGGGACCGGACCAGTCCTGGAAGCCGGTCCGGGATCGAGTCCCAATTCAAACTGCTGTGCTGCCTCAAACCGCTCCAGACACCTTTCCGGACTGGCACCCATGACCCTGCGACCAAACCGGCCCGTGCGGTTGTTGACGTCCTTGTGGTAGTAGAGGATCCCATCTATTCTGCAAGAGAGTCCAATACGTCAAGTCAAACCGCGCCAGACTGGGACCAGCCTGGACAGGGTCCCAAGTCCCGGTCCCTGCCGGCGACCGGTCCAGGGCAACTTCGGCAAGGCCAGTTTCAGGGCGACCCTGGACTGCTCCCGGCCAACTCGAAGTGACTTGGGCGCAAGCCGGCCCAAGCGGTAATTAACGGACTAGCTGCCCTATTTCTGACTTTTCCGTTAATCCTTGTTTCTGGTCAACTTCGGGAGGGCCAGTTTCAGGGCGAGCCCGGGAGAGGCGACTGCTCCCGGGCCAACTCGAAGTGACTTGGGCGCAAGCCGGCCCAAGCGGTAATTAACGGACTAGCTGCCCTATTTCTGACTTTTCCGTTAATCCTTGTTTGTGGTCGTAGAGGATCTTATAAGTGGTCCCTGGGTTTGCGGACGTGTTTCAGGACCGGTCCTTGTGACTTTTCCCTTAATGCGCCGAGGGTCGGCGGCAGCAGGCGGGAGCCTGGTTAATAAGGAATGCCCTCTTTGTGAAGATCTACCAGTCTGTCCATTTCAAACCATTCCGCATGATTGAAGGGTTCTTTCTTTGTTTGGGATTGAACAAAGGTGCCTTTGCCTGTGGCACTCCCAATGGATCAAAGTTGTGCAGTCTGTGTACACGTTCTTTGTGCAAGCGTTATCCTTGCGGGTAGCCACCATAAAGCCATGAATTGAAAAGGATCCAACTGCTTTCAACGTTCAAACACCTTGCCAGAATGCAGCAAAGTCTCTTACCCCATCTTTGTTCAATCATCAATATTATGCTCGGAATCATTGGCCCGAAGCAATTAAGCAAATTAGACACGAAACACATACTTGCTTCCTTGAGGGATAGAGAGAAGTCTGAACCTTTGCAATTTCTGTGCGCCACGACAGATCCCCGTCCTCCTGAAGGACCTTGAGGCTTTCCTCCATGCCTGAAAGGAGTGGGCCGCGCACAGTATGCAAGCAGGATTATCTTGCAGGAACCGTTTCTCTTTGAATGTGACGTGACCATTTGCCGAATGACCCTGGAAAAAAAAGGAAACGTCTTCCTTGGGGTTGACCATCTTGAGTGAACATACCAATACAGTCAGGATTCAGAGGGTGCGATGGCAGCTTGGTGCAGGGACTCCCTCGTCCCATTGGCTGAGTTTTGATGCAGACAGCTCCACGTTGTGAGTTTGATCTTGTAGACAAAAATATTTGCTACTTCTTGAGTAGATGGGGCAGAACAAGTCTTGCCTTGAGAGCGTTTTGTTGGAGTGCGAAGTGCAGAAACAGGCTTGATTCCGTTTCATCTGCACTCTGCGATGAAAGGCACTGCTCAGGCACCCGACGAGAGGCGCGGCTGCCGAGCCTAAGCGAAGATTCTGCCGGGGGTGGAATTACCAGGAAAGCCCACAATGCTTCCCCATTACATAGCTCCTGCTCAGCCCCATGCCACTGTCGCTTTAGCCAGAAGTACGGATGTGAGGGGTTGTCAAGCGTCAACCCAACATTGCACGATAAGGCCACTGTTTGCCCTCAATACCTGGCAATGCATTTTCCTGCCAGGTCCCCCCTCTCATCTGTTAAAGGGAGGAGCAAGTGACCAGTAAGGAATCTATATTGCTACAGCAAAGCCTTGAACGCATAGGAATTTCCCCCGAACAACTGTGAGAACAGAATGCGCCACTCTTCTTTTGATGGCCCGCCCCACGCTGAAGACGAGATGGACGATTGTGATACGATCACAACTCTCACAAAAGCCGTTTCACGATGCTAGCCTCACAGAAATTCTCGAATTTCACTTTTTTTTTCCTAGGGACAGTTGGATAGCGGCCACCGAGGTGGTGTAAATCAAACAAGTTGGACAAGGAGCGAGTTTGAAGCGCTCACAAGTGCTCCAGCAAGATGCACACAGGTTTCGGTCCAAACTGAAACAACAAAGTTATGCTCTTCACTGGCGTCAGTGCCTCGGTCAGGCTCACATGAAGGCCTAGTACGCCTTCAGTTGCTTCGAAGCAAGTGATACTGCCGATGACAAAGGACCGGCCGAGATTGACGCTCGAGACTCATTTGCGGCAGATGTGTCCATTCCACAAGGTATATTGTGGGGTGGTTCTGCAACTCTGCTTGTAAGAAAACACAAGCTGTTGTTCCAGGATTGAACCCACCACGACGTCATGGCTCGATCGTGGCGACCTACCCCAACGAGGCCGCTCGAAAACTGACTTAGTATCAAGTGTCTGACGGACTCGGTATCTCGTGCTTTGAGTGGCGCTGGAAGTTGTCATCGCAGTACTTGTAGGCTATGGGCATGTGATCGCTGGTGTAAGCCATATTTTTCCCGCGACTAGCGTGGAAGGCATGAACCTCACCGTTGCACACAGTATTTTGCCGGGCAGGTTTCCTGCACGCGCAAGGCCAAGCACCAAGATCAAAGCTCGCAGCTGAAGTCATGGTGGAGACGCAACCCTAGGCTTCCAAAGGCCATTAAAAGAATGGCCGAGGTCGCTAGACTGTTTTTTGCCGAAAGACCGTTTTTTGCACCTGGCCCTGAATATCCCAAAACCCATGGTTTTTGTTGCCCAAGAATTGCTTCGGGTCAGGTCACTGACAGTCACGCCGTCCTCATCCTCCCAGCTGCGCCCAAGCCACTCATTCCCCGGCTTGCCAAGCGTATGGCCGCTTCACTTTTCAACATCGCCAGGTGTCCTGCCTGCAGTATATGCGTGCATAGACGCTTGACATGTTGGTACTGATCTGAAGTCCGGCTTTTTTGACAACTGCTGCAAACCTACTGACTTTGGGGCATCGCTGCCGATCAGGCATGCGTTGCGCCTTCCACTCTTTTGAACGTACTTTCCACTGTTTGTCCACGGTTTCTCCATGGCCTGTCAACGCCTCATATTTCCTTCAACATCGACTAAACAATCAACAGACAACACGCGATGAGGCTCTGTGGAGCTGTGGACAAGAAGTGGCAAAGCATGCACGGGCATGTGAGGGACAAGCCAAATTGACGCAGCATGGTGACGGCGCGTGATTACAACAGGGTGAAGCGACTCTAAAACATACTTAGCTTGTTTCATAGAAGGCAGCAATAAAGTCCTTGAAGCTCTCACTGCACAAAAGCGCGCGGGGATGTCAGGAGCAAGCCGTTTCAAGTTCTCTAGCCCTACTTTTAATAGTCAAGGCACATTATTTCTATAGCCTTTCTTCCAAAAGAATGCGAAGCTATTTAAAGAATAGTCGAGGAAGCAGAAGGGCAAGTTGTGTGAGCACGTGTCTAGGTCATAAAGCTCAACTCCAAGCCACATAGCTGCTCGAATACCGGTGTCAAAGCGTTGGCAGGGAAGATCAGAACGACACCCGGCGCAAAATGCCGATGCACAAATGACCTTGGCCAGAACCCACATTATTGTCAGTGTGAGTGAGAGAAAAATGCATGCGGTGTTCCAGAGTCTTGGCAAGATCGAATGTCATGGCACATTCGTGGCGGAATACCTCAACAGGGCCTCCACGGGAAAGCTGAGCCGAAACCCTCGCAAGAAAAGAACCTTCGCATTGGGCCCAAGGCTGCACACCGTTGCGGTAGTTTGCCCAGATACATCGTCTCCTCTCTCAGTTCCTTGTCGCAAGGATCGTGAAGTGCAAAAAGCCTTATTCCCAGTCTCCGAGCCAGCTTTGCACAGACGTGACAGGATCGCCGCTCTTGGCCGCGGTTGAGGCCTCTGTTGTTGTTCATGTCCCAGGCGGACTTTTTGACAGAAAACCCTCATGAACAAGGAGAACACACATCACTGATTGGTGTTTGTGGCTCAAGGATCGTGGTCAAGAACCAAGGACTACTTGCCCTTCAGAAGAAAACAACAAAAAAAAGTTATACCATCGTCATACCACGGTAAGCTGGTAAGCTTCGTTGTTCATGATTCATGCTTGTTCGCAGGTTCCAAGCATTGAAACTGAGACACCCCTCACAAGCGGCGTCAAAAAAAGCCCCGCAACCCCAGGCAATAAGCACCCGCGCTTGATGTTCAAGTCGCTGATGCTGTTCGACAATTCCCTGAAGGTGGCCTGCCAGGCAAAGAAAGGCCGGAAACGTTGGTTCCATTGGCTCCAGATTTGGAGCTCAAAAGTCATGCAATAGTGTCCTTGTGATCAAAAGCCAGTCAAGAGCAGCAGCATACAGGTGCAGTGCCAAACTCTGTAGCAACTTTACTGAGCATACCTATGATTATGATCTCCTAAGCATGTCCAATTTCTCCCTTTCCGGCAAAAGTCTTGTTTCCAGGCTTCAGCAGCCTTGTACACTGAGCCACAAGGCAACTTAGAATCAGAGTAGTTCCAGAGTCAGTTCGATCCTTTCGCACTTCGCAAGTACCCATTGCGATGAGCGCGGATTTGGTATACCTACTGGGGACCTCTACAGTACACGTATTGCTAATGCGGGTGTTGTTGAAAATAGTGGTCCCCTAAAGTTGCGGTTGTTCTTTAGGGTTCCCTTTAACAGCATCAAGCAGGGCTACTCTTTAGGTTTCCCTTGAAACAATCCAAGCGTAGGTTCCCCTATTGGAGCCCCATGTTGCAAAGTGCCATGGCGTTCCTTCTGGTCCCTGTCAAGGATTGTCTGCGTGCCGGAGACCTCGTCCACCTTGTGCCTGGGCAGGTCCAGACCATTTTGGGAATATTTTTGGATGGGGGAAGTCGAAGGTACCCTGAGAACGGTGGACAGGTTGAAAGTGAACCAAGAAAGCTGTTGGAGGGAACAATGTCAAATATTCCCGTTTTGAGGTTTGCGGGCGAGAAAACACGGCAAGCTCTTGTACTGCCTGACTTGCGCATTGACAGGATGGAGCGTCAAGAAAGCATCTGGCTCACGAACAACTGAATCCAGCAGCTGCCCTTCGTGCTAATTGTGTTCCTTATCTGGACAGCTCGCAGTATGCCTGTCGCAATTCCCGTCAGAATGAGAGGTCGGGGAGATGAAACGCCAAACAAACTTTGTGACCACCAAAAGGGAGGACGTAGGTAGCGCTGAGATACAAGGCGTATGCAGGCGAACACAATTTAACAACAAAAAACAAGGGGATAGTGGCTTGCGAATCAACAAATCAACTAAGGCCCTGCTTTTGTTGACCCAGCCTTAAACCATCGGGTAAAACGGAGCTGTACCCAGTGACCACTCCACACATTTTTTGTTCTTGCCCTCGTATTGCTTACCCTGTGATTTAAAAAAAAAAGAGAAGGAGGCCCCAAAAACACAGGCCGGGGATCGAAGAGTCAACAAACAGACTGCCCTCTGGATATCATCCAGGTCGCAAAACACAATGTCTTGGTCCCACCAGTTTTGAAGTGGCTCCCCGTTCGAGCGCCCGACGCCAGGCTCCGGAGCCGCTCTTCCTGGTGGCCATGGCCCTCAGAGAGCCTCACGAGGCGGCCAAATCTGGGAGCGTTTCAAGACACTCGGTCCATGTGCGGCAGGGGATTCCTTCCTTAAAGAAGATCCATGTTGAAAAAACGTCCATGTGCACTCCTGATTGACATGTTCCCCAAGAGATGGGACCATCAGGGCTCAGTGAATCCACCACGTGCTGCTAATTTTCACAGAACCTCACCTCACACGCCACCCCGAACAGCCATCCTTGCCACGTCATGCAGAGACCCTTCGGTTTGAAAAGGGCAATGCTCAAACGCGAGCTTGGCCTCGCAATGCTGCGCTTGAGCTCTTCCAGGCCGGTGGGTGCCAGGGGCCTCGGACTCAAAACAGCACAACATCAACGAAGCTCGGAGGCCTCTGAGTCGATCTGAAGCAACTCGGCAATTTGATCGAGCCGCTGGTTTCAACAAACGGCACCAGCTGGGATTCCTGTCCAGGGGAACCCCCCCTCCTCCCGAGATGTAACTGGGGTCTTATGCACCAGGGATGAACATTACGAACTTTGAGTTGCCACAGGCTGGCAACAAGTCGCTAAGGCCTTGCCTGGACCTCATGGCACATGCTGTGGCTGGCGCCAAGCACAGCGCCCAACTCCTTCGTTCTTGCTGTTCACCAACCAAATCCAACCAAGCTTGCATATCCAAGTGCGATCAAGAAAGTGGTTGACACGCCTGTCTTGCTGGACCCAGCTGACGTTGCGCCGACTTAGCCAGTTTGCCGTCCTGCGCGGAGCCTGATAATATGGCTCTGGATCCGTACATTGCGTTTGTTTGGGGAGCTCTTCAGGCTTCCCTCACTTTTCCTCGAACACACTTCTGAAATGCGATCCAAAGCCACGACAGCTTGTTGGCCGAGGTCTGCTTCTCAAAGCAATGGCAAGCCCCCGCTTGACTCAACTTGGGTGTGACGATTTTGAACCAATTCAGCCAGCGAGTAACACCCAATCCGCCGTTTTGCGCATTGCTTGAGCCGACGCCTTTGGGACTCCGCACGCCTCCTCGCCGACAGCCTTCCGCACGGAAGCCTGCGACGTCTGATCTGTATCGGCCGCGGAGCTGGGATTGGCCTACCACTGCTTCCTGGACACTCGGGAATGGGAAAAAGCAGTTGGGAACTGGCAGGAAACCAGACATTCAGAATTTCGGGGGCTCGCCTGGTGGACAATCTCCAACGGCAAACCACTTCGAGGGCGTCTCTTTGGGCGCACAGGACTGGCGCTTAAAGAAGTCACTGGGGCCAGGCCCCCACCCCAATTCGGAAGCACGACCATCCATACATTTACCTACAGGACCCCAAGGTGGAGCATGCTGAGAGAAGGGTTTCCCAAACCTTTTTCATGGATTGCATGGATCTAGGCAGCCACAGGACCGTGCCCTTGAGACAAGCGACTGGGCTCCGCAAATATCCCGGCTTTGAGCGTCACCCCAGAGGAACCTCACTTAAAAATGGCCTCACAAGGTGTCCAAACTATCTGAACATGAGAGAATTAGGGGCCCTTGCCGATGATGCTGAAACCTTCTGAAAGGAGAGGCTACTCTCAGGTTGCAGGTGATTCTTGTAGAAGCACCTTTTTGCGTGTGACTATTGTTCGTGAGGGAGCCACCAAACCAAAAAACCTCTGAGGTTCCCTTGGCACCGTTTAGGGAGGCACTTTCCTTGCCCCCCAACAACTACAACCATCCTCAAAGGGGACTTGGAGCTGCGCCTGAGTCACGGCTTCAATCTTGGCCGTGAGGCCCTCGATCGCCTCGAAAAGGCGAAGCGGAAACACAACTGGAATCGGTTGTGCGGCTCACTGATTTTGGGGTTGGCTTGAAGGGAAACCACGGGCAACTGGCACCCACCCTTATTTTGTCAGCATACCTCCACTTCAAGAACATCATGCAGCTTCCTTGAGCGAGACAATGACAACGATGCCCTTTGCAAAGTGTGCTTCTTCATTGTTTGACCATGGTGGTTGCAGTCAAACGCCAAAATGGAGGTTCTCCGCACCTTAAGATCTGGACGTTCTGGGGGTTCCTTGAATAGTACCAGTCAATCAGCAACCATGCCACAATCCATGATGGTTCAACGTCTGCTTCCGGGGTCTCAGCTTGCAGTACTCACGGCCTCCTCACTTCCACACAAGAACAGTCTCGAACTGGAGTGTGCCAACGGAAATCCAACATGAAACCGCTGCCCTGAAGCCTGTAGGGCATGCAAATCTTGAAACAAACCCATCGCAATCGCCGATCAACGCCCCCGATCCGGTCTTCTCACCTTGCCTTTTGTGACCTGACAACGCGTCACAAGTACTACGCATCCCCTGTGGGCACCGGGAGACAATGGGCAACCCCCTTCTTTGAAGCGCAGGCAGGTTGTTTTGCAGACATCAAGAAGCAAGGGCACCTTCCTCTGGCCCTATTTTCATGGGTCTGGTTGGATCGTGCATGCCTCGGACTAGCAACCAAAGCAGACTGGGTGCCCTTGCGCCGTCGATGTAAGCAGACAGTCCTCGGATCAAACTGGCGACCGAGCCGGCGACCTAAGGACTAGGTTCTACCTTGCCAGGGCAAGCTATAAGTGAACGGTGCTACTTATGAACCTTGCTACAACCTGCATAGGCAGGTTGAACATTTAGGCAGGCAGCCAATTGGCCCTTACACTAGAACTCGCTCAACTGATCAGAACTCACAGCTACTTAGCAACTCTCGTGTTGATGCGCAGCCAACAATACATGTACCGGGCAATCAAGCCCCGCCACTGGTACTGAGGTAACGTGTTTTGCTGCGCTAGACAAACCAAAAGCACTCAATACCCAAACGCAGACTCAACTCATGCTGACGAAGGCGTTGCTCGAAGCGAGTCTAACCAACGCTCAAGCTTCACCCGGTTGAGCTTCTTGGCAATCTGAGCGATGCATGAACTAGAACGCGAGAATCGCAAATGCCTTAGATGCAAGCAACAGCATCCATTGATGTATCTCTCTGTTGTCTTGTTGAAGTGACTCTTCTGGCTGAGCCTACCTCCTCTCTCGCTGTTGAGGACTTCTGCTTGATTGACAGGCGGACCCGATATCTCAACACCTCAACCATGCGACATGGACACATAGCCATATACTAATTAGGCCATATAAATCTGCGAGCTCAAGCAACTCGCTTGGGTGCAGCCATTGAGTCCCCCGGTGTGTGGGACAACTAATGTCCCTCAGCGACAAGATATGTTGACGAATCTTGCATTGCTGGCCATCTCTTCCGTCGGGACTTCTATCCAGCAAACATTCAGTAGTTCCAACCGTTCAAATTCAAATAAATTCAAAGCCGCACCTTACTGTGGGTGGACGAAATCCTGCACCACCTAAGAAACCCTGCATGCCAACCATCAAGTATCATCCGCAGTATGTTGAAGGGTATCGTTTCAGGTCCGGTCGCTCCCTCGCCGAGGCGGTCGCTCGAGATGGCCGCCGTTCGCTCAGAGGCTTCCACCTGCGGTGGACTTGCTCGGGTTACATCTGCACAATAAACCAACAAGCACCGCCCTGTGTTTTCAGAAAATATTTTCCAATAAGCGGAATAAGTATCACATTAACCAGAAGAAGTTGCAATTGTTCATTTCGATGTCTTTTTGCACGAACCCTGAAGAAAGCCTACAAAGCAATTACCTCACAAAAAAACAGAAACGTGTTTCCCGCTTGGGGTCCGCTGGGCCTTCTGGCCGCCCGAGTGGCATCCCCGTCCGGAATCGACTCGGAAGCATCCCAGGGAGAAAAATAAACCAAGGGGCCCAAGTCTATCTCGGTCCTTGGCATGAAGACCAGTCGAGTCTTGAAAATTCAGGGACCACATGAAGGTGTCGGCCTTCAAATGAGGGCCTGCTTTGACTAGTCCTCTAACAAAGTCAAACTCTGAATCCATGAACTGTTGATAAGTTCAAAGTCAATGTCTGCCTCCTGGTGGGCTGTTTGGGGCTTTGGCCACACGGACAGCAAGTCACTTCCGGACATTCCGTAGGATCTGCTTCCAATTCACCAAGTGGAACTCGAACATCCCCCGGGGCCTTCATGGGTTTTCAATATGTTTGCCCGAATCGCTCGTAATGTGCGCAAATGCTCCGCCAACGCTCCGCCACGGCCTCGAGCCGCTGGGCAATGACCTGAGCCAAGAGTCGGATAGGTCTCAACAAGGACTCCATTCGAAATGCCTCGCCTTGGCTTGCTCTGCTGCAGGGAAGGGCTTCTTGAAAACGGTCCACGTGGGTGTCAAACTATAGTGCAGCTGACGGCAAATGCTGGACATGTGCTTGTATCTGGCAGTGACTGGATTGGTCTCGAATGCATGTTTTTGCTCCCCCCCCCCCCCGATTAAAGAGGCCATTTTCTGTCCTCCCCCCAGGAAAAAAAGAAAAAACACATAACAAGAAAGCAGCCAACACAAACAATGAACACACCTGTCCTTGAAATGCTAACACTCTTGCCAGGACTTCTGCCAATGTACTTTCATAGTTCGACAATCGCCCTTTCTCATCTCGGCAAATTAGCTATAGCCAACTGCTGCAAATACCTTAACTGTCGACCTTGACAGCTGGGGAGACGGCGAACCAGTGTCTGACTGAGCAAGCTCCCTTAATGCTCTGGGCCCAACAGCCCAAAATGGACCGAGTTCCCACTGAGCATGTTCTAATTACTTCCAAGAAGCAAAACATACGAGGCACAGTCAAGCTCGAAAACCGCTTTATTTGGCTCTCTGCCGTTCAGCGCTCAGCAGTATGTGCATCACTGGTCCACAAAGGAATATTGCTCCTGGTTGTTGGGTTCCGAAACAAAGGTTGACTCAAACAGCAAACAATTACAGTAGGTCAACCTTGAGTTGCCGCTCTGTGGGAAAACCTGCAAATCCTAGGACATCATCAGGAATTGCTTGACCGGGTTGTTCAAAATGGGGGGGATCCATAATCCGAATCCGTAGTGGGACGCCACTACAACAAGGGAAATCATCAGCAGGCAAAGACTCAAAGGAATCTTGTCCATTCAAGGCCCCCCCACACACAAAAGGCATGAATACTCTTGGACACGTTTGGGGTTCCTTTTGTTAGAGACCCGGCCACACTTTTACAAAGGAACCCATAAGCGGATGGTGCCGGTTCAGGTCTCATGAGGCCCGCCGAGGCTGCGACCTTCCAGACCTCAGAGAAAATTCCACCCGGACCCTCGGAACTTCCCAACGGGTTGTCCCAATTGTAGCGATTTCCAAGCAAAAGGACGCAGGTTGCAGGTATTGTCGGTATTGTCCAACCGGAAGCAAGTAAGCCAACCCCGTGGATGAGCACGCTTTACTCTTCTCATTTGATGTCATGCAAGTAAGTTGCTTTGGCTTACTAAACTGCAGCTTGACCCCAAATGCCAAAAGAGATGCAAGGTCATGACGTGCGAGGTGTGCATCATTTAAATCCTACATATGTCAGTATATATGTATATAATGTACACACACACACATGTGCGCGCATTCAAAACACAGTGCAACGGCAATCCGTGGTGAGATCTGTGGCTGTGGTTCAGGCAGCATTTATTTAGCGATTCTGAAGCTCATTCCACGTGTGAGAAGGAGCATCAGCTCCTGCATTTCAAAGAGCGATCATTGTAGACACAAACCACGTATCTTACCTCAAATGTCAGTCACTGCCCATAATCACTTGAACTGTATCAAATGCCAAGCAACATCAATAACGATCCAACAAGGACACTGTCTTGACTCTTCTTGGCTCAACAGCCATATGGGTGAATGTGACAAACTAGCGAGACCCCCCGACATGATGATGACACCCATGTCAGCTTCTCGAAGGCGGCCATACTGGGCGCCCGTGCGGGCAACTTGTCATCCTCGAAGTCTGGTCCGGAACTGTCTTCGACACACCTGGCAAGACTAAAGGCATGGTTGTGTCTGCGTGTGTGCGTGTGCGTGTGCGTGTGCGTGTGCGTGTGCGTGTGGGTGTGTGGGTGTGTGTGTGTAAGTGTGTGTGTGTGTGTCTGTAAGTGTGTCTGTGTGTGTAAGTGTGTGTGGGTGTGGTGTGGTGTGGTGTGGTGTGGTGTGGTGTGGTGTGGTGTGGTGTGGTGTGGTGTGGTGTGGTGTGTTGTGTTGTGTTGTGTTGTGTTGTGTTGTGTTGTGGTGTGGTGTGGTGTGGTGTGGTGTGGTGTGGCGTGTGTGCATGTGTGTGTGTGTACGTGTGTGTGTGTGGTGTGGTGTGTGTCTGTGTGTGCGCGGTGTGGTGTGTGTCTGTGTGTGTGTGTCGGAGATTCCTTTTCAGTTTGGATTGAAAAAAGGAAAAACACTTCTTCTGTGGTTTCCCTTTTTTGACACGTACCGGCAAAGAGGCAAACATGCTTGAAGCACGATGCAGAACAGGAGCTACTTTGGGGGGACGGGATAAATCATGCCATGTGACAAAAGGACTGCCGCAAAAGCGTGGAAGGCAAGTGCCTGCATCGACCGCGCGCGGGAATTCAAAATAATTCGGCGGCTATGGCAGCTCTTGCAACAAATGCGGTAGAAACACCTGCGATGCATGACTCAGGACCCTGGACTTGAGCCGAATGCACAAGCCCATGGCAATGCACATTGCAAGGTTCGAACCGGAAGGGACATGCTCTCGACCCAATCTTTGAGCGGCCAGGAAGGTGAGCAGCACGCAAAAATTCGCAACTGCATGCCAAGTGAGGACAGTGCGAGTAGCGAGCAAAAGGTCAGTGAGCTGTGCCTCCCGCCTTTGCGAGAAGGGCCGGGGTCGTGCCGAAGATAGGCAGCTGAAGTGAGCATTAAGCGCTACACGCGGTGCTCAAGAAAAGAATATCGAGCTGGGGCGAGAACATGGCTTCGCCGCGAAACTGATCGGAAAAGGCAAACGGCACTTGGCATACTTCATGGTTGCATTTGCCCAAAGACACCAATTCAATGTTGGTCACATCTTTACAACTACCTGTTGCGTTTGAGCGATGCATCCTCAGCAACGCTCTGGCCGAAGCTTGGGAGTAACACTTGCAAGCAACATGCAAGGTCTATCGTGGCACCCAGAAATTGCTAGAAAGGACTAGCTCTTTCAGAAATTCAACAGAAAGCTGCAAAGCCCAACTGCCTTCTTTCGGCAAGCAAGCCTGCATCCCACTTGAAGCTTCTTGAGTTAATCCGCCGACCCTCTGCCTCCCGACCCAGCCTTCTGCAGAGGGGACCGGCGTGGGATGCAGCTGGAATGAAGTGATTGGAATCCATGATGAATTTTTGGTCCCTGAGCGACACGCCCGAAAGCACAAAAAGTGGATTCCCAGGCTGGGACCCAAAACTGGTCCGGTCCTGGCCTTGTTTCTAGGACTTGTGGTTGTAGAGGACCTTATAAGTGGTCCCTGGGTTTGCGGACTGGCACCCGTGTTTCAGGACCGGTCCTGATGACTTTTCCCCTAATGCGCCGAGGGTCGGCGGCAACAGGCGGGAGCTGGTTAATCTCCTGGGGTAGCATGTCGCCGCTAGGCAATTAGCCTGCTAGCTTTAGCTATAGGGGCTGCACCCTGGTGCCGCCGTCCCTCGCCACTTGGTTGTGATGCGCTGCCTAAATCCGGCACCTCTGCATCACCAGCTCGGGCTTGCGGTTTTGCTTGCCTGTGGGAAACCCTCGCAAAACATCGCGTATATGCAGGGTTTAGGCGATGTGGCTGACATCATCAGGGTCTGGGGTTGGGCCTGGGTGATGCTTCAGCGGGGCTTGGTCTGCATCATCAAGACTTCCTTCCAAAAAGCCTCTCAACCCATGAAGCACTGTTTTTTAGAAGGTGTCGGAGGGATATAAGCGAGGCTCATTTTCGCGCATTTTGGCGCTCGCTCTACAAAACGCTGTAAATACCGTCAAAAACTGCTGTGCTGAGCGTGGGCTGTTGTTCTGTCCGTTTTGCTTTTGCTGTGGCTGGCTCGCCTGCTGCGCGGTCCTTGCCTTTTTCCCGTTGGTTTTCGGGCCTTCTGGCGCGCGCGCGCGCGCGACCCCAGCCACAAAACGCTGCTATTTACGGTGTTTTGTTGCATTTGCGTTTCCGGGCTGGCTTGCGGGCTGCTCTTTTCGAGCTGCTCTTTCTGGGGCCTCTGGCGCGCGCGCGCGCGCGACCCCATGTCAGCCTTCTGGGTTGGGGCCCGGCTGGGGCCCAGAAAGCTGGCATCCCCGGTAACCTAACCAGCCATATCATAGCACAGGATACGTTTCTCATACAAAAAACATGCCATGACACGGTATAACTTCAAAGAGGCGTAGCCGGCTAGAGGCCGCAGGCCCAGAAAATATTTCATCAGCTTCTCAGCAACCTTGATGTCCCAATGCGCACCTCCCTCGCTTGGTCTCTCCCGGCGACCAGGAGGACGGAGATGCCTACAAGCCGATGAGAGCCGGCGATCGTGGTTTCAGCATGGGCTCGCCCAAAAGTTGCCTGAACATGTTCGGCGTGTCGACATAGTTTGACCAAATGCTCTGAGGTAGCACAACACAATCTTGGATACAGGAGCTTGCTTTGCGCCAGGATTACCACGATCTTGTGTTGTGCTGCTCTGATTGCACTCGATGGGAGCATAAAGTTTAAAGCATCTGTTCGGCTGCCAGCGGCTGCGTTGTCACCTGTGGCAATGGAACTGACCCAGCTTCCCTGACAACGGGTGGGGCCATCCCTTGCTAGAGCATCTTGTAACCAGAAGTGTTTGAACAGCCTCGTTTGGGTGCCCCGATTAACGGAAGCTCTGGTCTGTTTCATTCAATCAATGCTGCCCAACCCGGCTGACAACGGTGCTGGATTCAAAGAATTAAGTTCGTAAGTCTGCAAGAAGCAAGCAAGTCCCTTTGCCGATGCTACACGCTCTCAGTGTCTGTGATCTACAGGTAGATCCACTACAGCATGCCGAGTGAACTTAGGCGTGGGCAAGTGCTGTCACAGCAAACACAGCACTTCAAATGATCCCTTCGGACAAATCAAGCCCAGATTATGTTGTTGGTCTGAAACTCACGCTGCCTCTACAAGGATGCATACGTATGTCTGTCAAAATAGAAGCACGTCTATGTTGGATTCCCTGCACTCCAACCTAAGAAAGGGCACCTCAAAAGAACACATACCCGGCACCCGGATCTTGCCTGCGACACCATCGGGGAGAAGTCACAGCGCTAGCATGGCACTGGGACTCTTGACCCATCAAGCAGCTGCAGGAGTCAAACGTCGTGATGGACGAAATCCACTTTGCACGAATTGGAAGGTGAATTATTATCAACCATGATATTCATAGGCCTTCATCCATCAGTCAATCCTCATATTTCATTCTGCTACCAACACTTCACCAGCGTGTCTACAGTCGTTGCCTAATGCTGCCTTTCATCGCGTTCTGCGTTGCTCGATGTCCGTTCGCATAGCGGACATTTCAGCATCCTTCTGGGCAAACTACCCTTTCCAATCCACAAACAATCAACCCCTGATTTGTAGACGTTGCCTGCAATTTGACGGCGTTCTGCGCTTTTGGATATTCCCCAACAAGTGGTTTCCCTGTGCAGCCAGCGCATGGCGTCCCACCTTGCATCGCGGCCGCCTTTTTGCCTTGCCAGTGAGACACTAGTTCACCGCTTTTCAAGGACTGCTGAGAATGCACAGCCCATTTCTCATTAGCCCCCGAGTTGGAGGGCGGGTCGAAAAGTGTTTTGCTGTTCCACAGAAATAGTTGGGATTTCCTGGGCTTATTTGGGCTTGGTTGGGGCTAGTTGGCGGGTATTTGGGGTTGTTGGCGGCTCGTTGGGGCTGTTTGGAGTGCTTCCCCTCCCCTTTTCGCGTTGCGCTGTCACATTTATTCGGGGCTATTTGGGTTATTATAAATCATAACTGTTCACAAGTCTTGACACTCTCCTATGTTGGAAAGGGCACGGGGCGATTTCAACAGCTTCTTTGTACGTTAGGCACCTTTGCGATGGTCTAATTACTAATGCCGCTTGCAAGTGCAACATGCAGACCCCGCTCTGTGTGGGTCCTCAGATTTCGGCTGAAAGCAGTTGTGGTTGAAAACTAGCGTGGTGATATTAAAAGTTAGCAGGGGTGTTGTTGCGCCAATGCCGCTGGAAACAAGGTCAGGGTCTGACCACATTTCGGACTTTGGGCAGGATGCTGCTGCACTTTGCCGCATGGTGCTGTCGAAAGGAGTGTCAATAGGGCGTTTTGTAAGTGCAGCTGGCAAGTGTAGCTCAGAGTTATAAATACAGCAAGGTGCTGTTGCAGGGGATTGCTGGAGAGTGTGACTGAAAGTTGCTAGGATTTCAGGCTCTGCGAAAATGACTGAGAGGAGGGCAAACTTCTGCTGCACAAGGCGCTGTTGGAGGATGCTGCAGAGGGCAAAGGGAGTTGGTGCAGGAAAAAGGATGTATGCAAAAGGCTTGCTGTGTGTTTGTGTGCGTCAAGCACCTGCCCATCTTGGCACCAAAATGCGATTCTGGCTGGCTGCGGTCTGTTCTGGTGTATATACTCTTTATGCGCACATCAGCCAGATTGACACGCGTGTCTTTGTCTGTGGGGTGTTCACGGGAAACAGCAGGGAACCTGGTATCCAGGCACAGCAGCACAATGTCTGGAGGGCTCGGGCGGTTGGACCGACCAGCTCGATCCAGACACGTCTTCGTTAATTGTCCTTTTTGAGGACACTTGACACCGCATCGTTGTTGCCGCCTTCAACTAAGCGCTAGGTCGAATGGACTCAACCCTTGTTTCTACATTTACCAACTCCTAGAAACATGGAAGGCGCAACTTGACGCGTCTTGACACCCAAAGCAGCGCCAACGGTCTTCTCTACCTTCAACCACACCTTCATGCTCGCTTCGCGGGCAAAGGGGCAGCCAGTCGGGAACTTTGAAGCATTTTGAAGCGAGCCAATGCCTCCACTTGCTGGGTGTGATGCCCCCCAGTCTAGTGGGACGCCTTCATGAGGCGTGGAAGACAGCTCAGCCATGCACAAAAATGCAATACACTCTGCGAGATTTAAGATTGAAAACACTCAAGAGCACAACTGCGGAGTGGACCATGACCCGCGCCATGAACAAGGTGCTGCGGGGGCCTAATGGATGCGTGTCAACCAAATAGGGCTCCCCCACGTGCCATGGTCCTCAGCCCCCATTCAGAAACATTTGCAAACACTTGAGAATTGCCATGAGTACGGGCAGCCCCCCTAAATATCAACTCTGATGGTTTGGTGGCCTCAGCTTGGGTTGGCGAACGGGTGGCTCTAGTCCATTCCAACTCCACCTCAAGGTGTGCCCTTGCTGGGAGACTGACACTTTGGCGGTCTCACCCCCAGAATCTTCGGCCTTTTCACAAGCCGCCGTGCTAGCTCCTGGGACAAAACGGCGGGCCCCTGTCGGCATGAAAGAGTAAGAGTAAGAGCACATAGTTTTGACACGAAGCCATATGAACTGGCCCCAGGATGATGTGAAAAGCACTTGCTCCCGCACAAGAGGCCCACTGCCCTTTCCAAGAAATGGCCTCTACCTACGACCCTGGCTGAGTGACCACGCGCCTGTAGCATCTCTTTCGAATTTGAGCCGGAATCATCTTAGTTGTGAGCTATGTTTTGGCGACTCAACCTAGAGTGGACTACGTTGCAAGGACACAAAAACACAATCACACAAAGCATGGTTGCGGGAAATGACCACTTCTGTGATACGGCAAAAAGGGCTTCCCAAAGACTACCACCCCATATAAAGGGGGAGATTCCCTTGTATTACAGAAGTGGGAATAAACCCCTTCATTCCACAACCCTGACACAAAGCCACACACAAACACATACAAACACAAACACAAACACAGACACAACCACAAACGCAAACGCAAACACAAACAGAAACACAAACACAAAAATATCTCTCTCTCTCTCTCACACACACACACCCATCCGCCTAACCACCCATCCACGCACGCACGCACGCTCACGAAGCACGCTCACGAAGCACGCATACGCACACACACGCATGCACGCACGCACCCACACAAACACAAACACAACCGCACACAACCACAACCACGCACAAAAACACACACACACACACACACACACACACACACACACACACACACACACACACACACACACACACACACACACACACACACACACACACACACACACACACACACACACACACACACACACACACACACACACACACTTACACACACACACACTTACACACACACACACACTTACACACACACACACTTACACACACACACACTTACACACACACACACACTTACACACAGACAGTTACACACACACCCACGCACGCACGCACGCACGCACGCACGCACGCACGCACGCACCCACACACACACACAGACACAGACACAGACACACACACACACACACACACACCCACACACACACACACCACACACCACACACACACACACACACCACACACACACCCACGCACGCACACACACACACAAATACAAAATGTACAAACACAACCACACACAAGCACACACACAACCACTACTACACGCAAACACACACACACACAACCGCAATTATATACACACACACACGCGGGAACCAACAAACAAAAACACAAACAGGCATGACACACATAAACACAAATAGACACACACACACATGCCGCGGTTGCATTTTGGCCGCAACGACTCGAAAGCTCATTGTTTGCTTTGCCCCTGCTCAAGTCGCTTGCTCAATTAGCTAGAGCGAAGCCACCTCGACAAGACTGGATGAGCACGCACGTTGCTCGGATTTTGTCCCTCAAAGCTGCTTGGCACCCTTCCTCGGGAGCCTAAATGAGTGAGAGTGCGCTTGCAGCAAGTGCGCGCGTGCGCGTGCGTGTTTGCGTGCGCATTCCCAAAGCGTGTGCGCGCATGTGTACACGCGCGTATGTGCATGTGCATTCCGCTCCGCAGCCACGATTCTGAGCGAGCAACAGTGGCTGGACTTCTTTGATATTGCGCAGGAGGGGACGAGGGGTTATTCACGTACTCCCTCTCAAAGCCTCGGAGGATGGCGCAGCGGAGCTGCTTCAAAGGAGCTGCAGACCGTGCGCCACCTGACGGTACCGCAGCGGACTTCACAGAGCGGGTACGGGTGCTCTCCCATGCACCTACTGCCACCTTGAACTGACGCGGCTGCATGCAAACAAGTGCAACAATCCTCAAATAAACTCGAAACGGGACCATACATATTTTCCCGAAAGCATCGCGAAGGGTTCCTCCTTAGGGAGCCCTGGGACTAACTTGCGCAGAACAGCTTCCGCAGAGCCATATGCGCAGACCAACTTGCACAGAGCAACTTGCTGGAATTACTTGCACATGTGTAGCAGAAATCTACCGAAGCATGTCCTAAAAAAATGAAAAACAACAACATGAGTTACGACACATGTAAATATATATATATATATGTGCAGAAATACATGCACGCATGCATTTAGCTACCGTAATTATCATATGCGCCAAGCCGATAGAAGGCTGGGGTGGCAGGATTGTTGGGTCAACCTTTGATGCACAACGTGTTGAACCCAACGCTCAGTTGAGATGCGCTTAACACTTCTACCACAGAAAGCACCCACGACACGACAATGGTACTGGCCGGCCCGCACAAGATTTGGGTTGAGCCAGCCCCAATAAATCCCTTTAGGCGGAGAAGCCTTCAGTTCAATTCCCAGTCCTTTGTGCTGGCCTTAGCAGTGTCCTTGGCCATTTGCATCGATCTCTTGACTTCCTGGGCGTGAGATATCACGGTGCAGCAGTGTGCAGGGTGACATGAACGATATAACAATCAAATAGCTATGAGTTGGTTCTTTGAGAGCGCTGGTGGACATCAGCAGATGGGGCACCACTTGCTCAGGGCCTCCCTGTCTATGCAGGGCGCGTTATTTCCCTTTTGCTCCAGGGCGGTCAAGCAATGGCTGCCGTCAAAACCAGGGCTAAATGCAGCCCTGCCCGTGAGCTTTAGACAAAATACATTGTAATGGATTGGAATCCATGCCGCTCCATCCCCAAACGCGCTTGTGCGCCGACCCACAAGTTTGTCTCAGACAGTAAGAAGGATAACCAAACACTCATTATATCTTGGGCAAGTTCTTGTTGAGACATGCTCTGCAAATCCCTCCAATTCCCAATTCCCGATTCGACAGCAAGAGAACACCACTGCAAAGGCCATCATCCACGGGTTTACTCTCGTGTTACCCCGAATTGTTTGTTCTATTTCGTCGATGCCTTGATTCCAGGAAGCGCAGGCCGTCGGACCCTGGCATCCCATGTCCGAAGTGCGGCTTTTGAAGATATCCCGGTGGTTGTTTTCAAGGGAAGCCAAAACGAAACTGCCCCATTGTGCGACGGTGCACAGAACTCAAAGTACACATCACCAAAACAAATTGGCGACCGACGCAGGCCAGGAAGATTAAAGCGCTCTTGGATTCTGATTCCCTGCACCTATCATAGCTGGAAGCTCCCGGAAAGAAAACAATTTGGGCACTGTATTCACGAACTTGACACACGGGACCCCCGAGCGACAGTGCTCCAATTATCACATCAATAATAACTGAAGTCTCCGTTGGTTCAGTATTGATGAGCCTTCATGGGAAAGCTTGTTTTACGCCAATGGTGCATCATCTACCACCAGCTGAATGCAGATCACAAGTCCCGTCCCCACCAGTCAGCCAGGTGACCTGCACTTGCCTCCTTAGCTGTGTTTGCATCGGTCCGTGACAGGATCATGTAAGCCGTGGTCAAACTCAATTGTTTCCCACAAGGGATGTGGACAAACGAGTGAGCTCTCTGGTTTTTGCGGGACATTAAGCGAGTCCCCCATGTCATTCTTCTGCTCGTACCGACACAATGGGGGTTGGCAATGAGGAAGACCCCAAAATGGTTGGATTCCGAGAGGATCGTGCGGAATCGCTTGTCCAATTGGGGAGAACCGTCCTTCCCCAGAAATGGCTGGCTCACGGGAAGGGAAGCAAACTCTCTGTGTAAAGCTCGATATCGCTTGCCACATTGCTCCGAGGCCGGAGTCACGTTTTTCCCTCACGGTGACATTCTCAAAATCACCCCTGGTTGGATGGCTTCAAGGGAAGCTACTTCCAAAAACAACTTAAGAACCTCTCCAAGTGTTCACCAGGGCGCAAGTCATTTACAGCAACTCCCGGTACAATGAGTAATTCTATAAACACACCATGAACGGCTACGTCGTGCAAGGTTGTTTACGGCGAACCCGCGCTTTGCTTACGCGACCCATGTTCTCGCTTACGCGGCAGTCAGCGAGCATTTGCAAAATGAGGAGGAAGTTGATGAAGTGCGCTCAGGCGCAGCAATTTGCTAGCCCTCTTGCTCAGCGTCTTGGATGTGGCCGACAATTTTGCCCCCAGAGTTTGTTTGCCTGTGCTGAGATCAAGGAACGGTTCTATAACTCTTCCAAGCAGTCACAAAGCAGAGCCTACGCGGGCGCTTACGCAGCATGCTTCCCCAAGTTTCCAAATCAAGTGCTTCTGCTGGCTTACGCTGTGCAGGGTTTTCCTCGCGCGAGGCCTTCCCATGACACAGCTCTTGATTGGCATGCAAAGGAGGGTCTTGGGAGCTGCTCAAATGGATATAAGGGTACCCAACATGACAAGCAAAACCATTTTTCGGGTTCCCCATGGTCCCCTATTCTGACACGCGTCGCAAACCCAACTGCGAATTCTATTTGTGATCGTGCAACAACCTAAATTCTGGAACCGTATCAGGTCGACAGGTCGCCTATCACGCGGTTTATGATTCAAGGTCAAAGGGTCAATATGTGTGTTTTTGGGAGCCCGTTTTGGGTTGTTGAAGAACAGAATTCAAGGGGGTCCCTCAAACCCACTTGACCACAAACAGAAAATTACACAGCAGGTTGGTTTGTATGATGAATCTATCTCAGCCTCAAAGGATGTACATTAGCCAGTCTCCCCCCCCCCCCTCCCCCCCCCCTCGCCCCCCCAAAAAACATCACAAAAAGAGCATCCAACGCGTACCAAGGCATCCTCTGGTGGAACCACCCTATTTCTGGGGCATCCAAGAGGTAACCAACCAACCAACCAACCAACCAACCAACCAACAAACAAATCCAGTATGGGCTCGCCCGCCGAGTTTCCCCAACTGCTCTAGGGTCATCTGCGCGATGACTAAGTCCACCTTGTGCAGATCTCCCCGCAATCTCATGAGCCCGGACCTGCGTGCGAACGACTGGATTTGAGTCATACCCCCTGGTCGGATAAGGCCTATGAGAACCTTCGTCTCCCGTGTTCCCGAAAGTGTAGAGAAGGTTTCTGACTCAAAAAGACAGCCCTGCTTCACAGCACATCTCTACATAGCCCTGCTTCACAGCGCAGTTTAACATAGCCTTGCAACACAGCGCATCTCAACATAGCCTTGCTGGCCTTTGCTTCACAGCACCTCTCACCTTGCTGCACAGCGCCTCCCCACCTAAAGCCTTGCTGAACAGCACATTTCAACATAGCCTGGCGTTGCAGCGCATCGCAGCATAGCCTTGCTGCGCACACGCCTACGCAAAGCCGCAGCGACTACGCGCGCGCGCGTTTGCGTGTTCCTTGCCTTTTCCTTGCTTACGATGCCCACTCCCACCACTAATATTATCTCCATAAATCTTCCAAACTCCACCAATCCAGAATGTAAACAAAATAAAAGCGGAATATTATTGATGTGGATAAGTTATTCCCAACTTCTCAGTATTTATTTCTTTATGGTAAAGATGATAACTGCAATAACATGAAAGAAGAAACCACAAGTTGTAAATGAACGAGGTATGAGATGACAGACCTTACATCCCATCGAGACGCTATTTCTCATCAATAAATCTACCAGTCTCGTTCTAAGTGCCAAACGAACAGTTGGGTGGTGACAAAGGACATCTCTAACTCAAGTGGATGTGAGGAGATTTGGAACGTCAAGCGCGGGCTGCTTAGCGCCACAACACCCACGAAGAAGTAACATCAGAACCCCTAATTATATATATATATATATATCTCTTACGTTGACCCTCTGAGGGAAGTCCGAGTCAGGCAAAATGAGCAGTCTTAACAGCTCAGGCAGTGCTCGGATGACTGGCATCCCGCAAAACAAGAGCACCAACCAGGCACCAAAGACAAGCAAAGCACTAAACGAAAACCAGTGAGTGGGGAAGCCCACAACGGGGGCGGGGGGGCCCTAAGTGGACAGTTGGTTGCTCCAAATGGAGAGTAGTAGTTTTCCCACTTCGCCTGGGCTGTTCAAACCTCAGGGGAAATGGGATCAAGGACTGAGGCTGAACAGGAAGGTAGTTGAATCTGAATCTGAGTTGGGGACCCTTCGCATATTCGGGTATATATATATATATGGTACCCCCCCCCCCTGGAATACTCAGGTTGTTGGACAGAAATTGACATTTTGGTTGTAAAAATGCATGCAAAACACACGTTCCAGCTTCTAAAATCAGGCTCTAAAAAATGCACTCCTTTTTAGACTTAAATTCTAGCATCGGTACTTAGTGCAATCCAGGATGTGCTAGCACGTGCTAGCACGTCCTGGATTGAAGATTGAAGATTGAAGATTCTCAGACCACTTGTCTGGAAACCTTCAATCCGTCCTTAGGACTAACTGGTATGTGCTAGCTCGTGCTAGCACATCCTGGATTGAAGATTGAAGATTGAAGATTCTCTGACAACTCTCTCTGCGATTCTTCAATCTTCAGTCTTCAATCCAGGATGTGCTAGCACGTGCTAGCACATACCAGTTTGTCCTCAGGATGGATTGAAGATTTCCAGAACAAGTGGTCTGAGAATCTTCAATCTTCAATCTTCAATCCAGGATGTGCTAGCACGTGCTAGTACATCCTGGATTACTCTAAGTACATATTTGGAGAATTTCAGAAAGCGTTGTCAGAGAATCTTGAATCTCCCATCCAGATCCTGGATTGCCTTAAGTGCGGATTTGAAGAATCCAAAAGGCAGACCGGGAGTGCACGTTGTCAGAATCAAAATGTGGATGTGCACTTGCACTGCCTGCAATTGGCCAGGGGGAAGAATGTTGCTGACACCTTTACATTTTTTGTGGACTTGAGGGTGGCCAGGATGGAAGATTCTCAAATAGAAAATCTGGTAGATCTTCAATCTTCAATGCAGGGGGCGAAACCTTGATGAGTCTAGAACAAACTGTCAAGTTTTTTTGGGACCAGGATTGAGTACATCCTAAACATATGTTTGTGGAATCTTGTATATTCGATGTTCGATCCAGGGCAACACGATCTGAGCAAATGCTGAAAAGCACTGCGTTTTACAGCAGTTATGCAAAGAATTGGATCTATGATTGCAATCACGTTCCTGTCATTGGCTTGGCTCAGTTCAAACCACATGGAGTTCGAAGGAAAACAACTTTTTCAAAATTGAGCTTGATTCCAAATTCATTTGGCCATGACAACAGCTATCTTCTGATCCAGTTGATTTTTGAAGTGCACAAGAGACTGCAAACGAGTAAACTTGAATTTGGTTTGAACTCGAAAGCTTTTTTTAACTGGATATTCTTCCCTTACTTGAATTTCAATAGTTATTAGTGGCGATGATGGAACTTAGACAAGCAACACACATACACACACACGTGGGATAGTTGCTTTGCAACATATGTTTCAATTAGACTGAACTAGCATGTCAGGAATTATGCACAACACTCGAGTTAACATGTAAATGCAACTGCGCAAGGACATGAATTAGGAATGAGCTCCTTTTCCCCGAGTTGATGTTTTGCAGAATTTCGCTGCCAAACAAAAATAATAAACACCAAATAATAGGGCTGCTACAGGCGCGTTGAAGCTGCCAAAACATACTTTGCGCACTACCCCTGTACTGAACAGTTGTGTTTTTTGAGCTGGAGCTGGCAAATTGCACTTTGCATACTCCAATGTGACTTTAGGTGCAATTCGCGCACGCCAATGTGACGGTCACACAACTCGCAACTCCTAATCAACGTTGAGCTTAACTTCTGCTTGGTTAGAATTTGCATGGAGTTGAGTGTCCAGTTCATTTCAGAGTCTCAAGGCATTTGTTACCCCCAGTCTGGCCAAAACCTCAGTTCTGTCCAAAAACCTGAGTATCTCAAGGGGGGGGTAGCATATATATATATATATATATCCCTCAGTGCTTCCAGGCAAACTGTAACCAGCGGATCCCATCAGTTGGCAAAGAACTGTGGTCAGCCTCGAACTGGGATATGGGTCTGTCTTTCTTTGAGGGTACTAGCATATGTTGGTTTCCAGGGAAACCGAAAGGAACCCACAATTTTGGGGGTCCCCTCAACAAATGACACACATCCGTATCTTGCCCTTTCATCCGGTTTCTTTGTGCCTATGAGCACCTGGACCTCGCACTACTCTCCCTGTGCTTCCCTGGGAGCGGCACACGAGCTCCGACACGGACACGGTGCCGTCCTCCTCCTCGGTGCGACCGGATTCCAACGGGGGAAGAGAACTCAAACGAACGAATCCGAGTCTCTGAGCACTGACTGCGCGACCTGTAGGGAGTTTGGGGGTGGCCCCCTAGGGGAAGAGAAGTCCCGAAATAAGCTTCAGACTCTGCAAGCCAACTGAGGGAGGGAAAAGCAGTTGGAAACAAGCGTCTGGGGCATCCACTGCATCTGACTGCAGCACACAACAGTAGCCGATCGGGCAACACCTGGAAACTGACAAGAGTGACTTCAGGAACACGACTCTAAATTGCACGTAGAGGACAGTTGGACAAAAGTAGATGGCACAAATCATGTGCGGATTCTGAACGGAGGAAAGCATTGGAACACACAAAGTAGGTGTCCCAATTGTGCATTGGTTCGCAGAACAATCATGCAAAATGGCAACAGGAACATCTCCGTCGCCAGCTGCAAATGAACAAAGCAAAGTGTCTTTGAATGGGTGCGAAAGGGACAAGCACGAAGCACACCATCTTTCGGTTTTTTTTGGGGGGGCGTCTCCACACATTTGACGGGCACAAAGATGGTAACCAATTGTCTCTCTTCTGACTTCGACATGCCCGTTGGAGTGCGGGATTCTGCAAATGGAACCTGCCAAGTACCAAATATTGCAAACAATGTAAAACAAAGGCGATCCCCTTGGCACAGCTTGGTTGTTTACTTCGGAGACCACCCTTCTTTGGAATCCCAAGCTGAATTGGCAAGGGCCGCTTTCAAGCTGCATGTCTCGCAGCTTTGGAACAGTGTCGTCCATTTTGGAGCTAGATCCATGTGCAAGAGTCAACGGTTGAAGAATTGGTACCCACCAGGCCCCTCCGGTAAGGGTCCATGTCAGTGGATGGCAGCACCTGGAGGGTAGCTGGAAAATCAAGCTTCTCAAAGAGGTTCAGGGGCCATCCAGCATACCGATACCCAGAATCCATACATTGACTTCTGGCAAGTAGGGGTAGAAGAATTGACAGCACGCTATGTACATCTGGGATCTGACCTTCGGGACCGGTCCCACGAAGTCTGGGCCGAGAGGCTGTGTTGAAAGCCTCGAAGATGCCAGGCCGCGGCTCTACACTCCTGTCAGAACTTGTGGTGGGCGCGTGTCTGGCCACATGGGCAATAGCATGACTCGGTTTTCGGGGCTCCGTGAATCTGGAGGGTCTGGAATATGTTTGTGTTTTTGAGGGGGTACCGCTTCTCACCTTGGCTGAAAGGGACACCCAAGGAAGATTCTGACACACATTCAACATTGTCAACATGGTTTGGTTCTGGTCAGTCATATGGTCGTAAATAGCTGCAAATTCGCTTGGACCCTCCAAATCACCTCTTTGTGGAGGATCCTCTTGCGGGGGGGGGGGGGCCTCTCTAAAATGTCCACGTTGTTTTGCAGACAAGTGTGATCATGGGGCCCTGAAAGGGAACCTTTTTGATGGGTGCAAATATTCTGAAAGGATCTGATCAAACCATGGCAAATAGTGCCGATCTCATTCATACTCTCTGGCAAGGTGCTTGGAACATGGGACAAATCACATTATGAGTCAAATATTTTAGGTATTTGATGCGGGAACTCAGCACTATGTTGTGATCATCATTCACCGCTCACACCGGGTAACGCGGGAACAGCCTGACACGCGGACACGGGCAAATGCCAATCCAACATGACCGCTCGACGCATGGAGTAGTTGCAGACTCACAATATGTTAATATGTTACTGGTATGATGACTGATGGTCCGTCAAGAGCCATAGGCTTCACTTGCGTCCCGCATTGCAACATTTGTATTCAGACCCTTTCGGGGTTGGTTTCAAGGGTAAGGAAAACTGCTTTTCGGGGTGAGGAGGGTATGTGCCGCAGTGCAGAGTGGTACTTAGTTGGTGTGGTGGTATGTGGCATGGCCACGTCCAGTGGCCCTGCTCATGACCTGCTCGCTGATCCTACTGGTTTGGGGGCCCCTTGCTTCTAGATGGATCTGATCAACTGTGGGAGGTTACAGCCAACAGCACAAGATGTGCTGGTTTGCGCATTGTCGGGCTGCGGCTGAATTGGCCATGTTTGGGACCCCTTTAGGATGGATATTGGGAACAAACAACAAGTACATTGACCTCGCGACTGGGCCGCGAGATGAAAACCATGCAGCGACCCCAAAATGGTCAAGTGATTCCGGCGAGTCGCACGTGAAGATCGTTCAGGATCACCCGAACCTCAAGTGGCAAGCCTTTCCAACAACGAGCGTGCCAAAACGACAATGCCACACAGCTGACTGCTTCTGCTTGCGCGTGAAACAGCTTTGCAATTCAATCACAGATTCATGTGCTTGACGTATCTAGTCTCTGCGCGACATTGATGGCAACCGGCAAGGGGCACCAGTTTCAACCTCGTCACAAACAAAAGCAGGAGTCAAGTAAAGACAAACTGACACAATATGTCGCAAATAAACAAGCCGCTCCTTCGCACATGCTGTGTGAGCAGGCTTTGCTCAAGAAGGAAAACAACGCCGTTCCATGAGTGCAGAATTCACCACGCAAGTAAATCCAAGATCAATGCCTAAAATACGAGTCGTCCGTCCGGCAAAAGAAACCAACACCGTCAAGCCCATTTGTGCTGAGCAGCATCCGGATTTCTGATCATCGAATTGAACTCTTCTTCATCTGAGCCGCAGATCAGCCGAGGGACGAACGGGACAGCTTCCAATCTTTGTTTCTCGAAGTGCGCCCATGCGCAAATGCTCCCAATGTGCGGGTGCGGCTCCAAAGGGAATGGTCTGCGGTTTTGCGAGTCGCAAACATCTACGATGAGGCCCAGCCTGATTCTGAGAAGCAAAATGTATACCCTGTACTCAGGACTGAACTGCCCCTACACCCCCTGCAACCTTGACTTTTTTGCAGGCTGAAAGAAAGCATGAAGAAAAAGCAGGCAAAAAACAACAAGAGCAACTAGGTTTGGCAATGTTGGAAGCGCCTCGTTCTGTTCCTCAACGTCTGCTTGGAAGCGGAAGCTTGTCTAATAATTTGAAGCCCTCTCGAAGCAAATAAAAATTGGCCATGGCGTTGACCATTGACTATATATTGCAAGCGCGCCAAAAGCCCTTTGCCAGTGCGCTTTGTGCTCCAGACAGGCTGATACGATTGCAAGATTGACACCACTTGGGCAGGGCTTGTTTCATCCTGCTGCGGCCTCCATTGCACAATGTGTATGAATATATAACATACATATGTGTATACGTATATATATATATATATACATAAGATGTATATAGTATAGTAGTGTGTATATACATGTGTACATATATATATATATAAATATATATTTGTATGTATATACATGGTCCTTGCCTGGTAGTTGTGTTTGCCCGTTACCCGCTGCACCGCGACTGGAGTAAGTGCCTGAAATCAATCCAAGTGAGCCACAGCTCAATCTATGTTAAATATAATTTAAGGTTCGACTACTTGCAAGATGTAGTTGGGGTTCTTGGCTATGAATTTCATATGTTCCTTTCGTGGACATGGTTGACATGGGCTTCTGTCTACCACCATTTTGGCAGCTCGTCCCTATTCCAAATGCTGGCCAGGGTCCCTCTCTAAGCAGCATTTTAGATGCAACTGTGGATTCTACTGATTGCTGCATTCAGTTACGTAGCACTTTCCAGGGCAAAATCCACAGCCGGGGCATCAAGCCTCCCACTGAACCTTTGCCCAGCTGCTGAGGTAGATCTCCTTCTGCAATCTGGGGGAATCCTTCTTGGAATCCTTCTTGTTGCTCGGCTCGGTGCTGGCGCGGAGTGGCAGCTAACTTGCTTCTCGCTGGGATAAAGGGGTGGAAAGGATGATACAGGACGCGAAAGGATCGAATCAAGAGGACCAAACCAGGTGGTGAAGGACGCTAAAGGATAAAGCATGATGACCAAGGGCAAACAACAATATGAGTAAAAAAACAAAGACACAAGGAATACTTGGTACGGCTACCCTTGGAGCTAAACATGTTGATCCTCTATATCCGACTTGATTAGGCGCTGGTCATTTTCTCTCGCAAGCTCCTTAACGGTGTCGCGGCAGCTGAATCCCCCGGTGTTTACTACTTGTTTCGTGTTGTCGGTCAATCAGGAAGCTGGCCACATCTCTGGTGAGGTTTGCGAAGCTTTGGGGATTCACGTGAGCAAGCTCACACTGTGGAACCACATGCCAACAAAGGACATATGCGTCTTCACCCTGACTCAGACCTCGATCATAATCATGCATTGGTGAGCGCAGATCCTCTTCGGTGTCAGCAAGCGCACAATGTTTCCATGCCCAATAGCTCGACACGTGCAAACCCGAATGCAGCTGGTGCTCGCTGACATCCAAGAGCTTGCACGCAAACGCTCTTGCTTGCATGTACTTCAGAGACCCGCATGCTTGACATGTTTCAATGCCACGTTGGCAGCCTCCAAAACTTGCTGGCTCCCTAAATTTGGGGAACGGATCACATTTAGAAAGAGTCGCAGTGTGTCCTTGGCCGTAAATCTTTAGCATGTGTTGCTTCATAATTGTGTGAAATAAATTAGACTGTGACTAGTGGAAGCCTGAAAGCCTTCTGCTGGGTTCTACCTCGAAGCTCAACCAATATGTCCCGGTCCCCTTGTTACAAAAAAACAAGGTCAATGACATGGGAAGAAGGGACCCACCGGCTAACAAGGCATTTCAGGCGTGCTAGACTCTCCAGCCTTCCCGCTGAGGCTCGGTACCCTTCTTCCACTTTAAAGGGAAACCGATTGGTAAACATCATCTTTCTTGCGGGGCGCTTCCATTCGCCTGCAAGTTGACATGGATCTCAAAAAGGGCTCCATTTCCCAAAAGGAGATTCCTCTCATCCTGGTCTAGGTTCCTTCCTTCACTCTGTGAGTCCAACCTCACGAGGTTGCCCAGCTGGCCCACGGTATTGCCCAGCTGGTTCACGGTACCGCCCAGCAGAGCTGGCAAGACCGACGTCCTGACGCGAACAAACGTATCTGCGGTGGCGGTTTGCTTGAGAACCCTTGTATTGGTCCATCCCCACTTCACGCTTTCTTAGCTGTCCAAGACAATGCATCTGATGAGAGCAAGCAGGCCATGAGCGAGCTCGCCAAAGTGTCAGATGACGATTGCCGCCTCTGGGTGGTCTCAAGCTAGGAAACCCCCTAACACAGCCGGTTTCCTTTTGGACTCCTTTTCAAAAACCGAGCAACAAAAGGGTCCCAGAAAAAAGATACACTCCTCTCCTCATAGTTTCCTGTGTCCAGTTACAACCAATCAAACCGAGATTCCCCCCACCCCCAAACCAGAAAAAATGTTCAAAGTAGGCAGATGGCACAATTCCTACTTTGTGGCTTACCCCTTTGCTTATCTACTGGGAATCGTGCATCTACTTTCACCGTGGTGTCTGTCAGAAAGAATACACACGTGTGCAAGCCCCCATGTCTGCTTGCGACAATCTTCCCATGGCTTCCACGTGTTCGCACGCGTGGCAAACGCCCATGGATAGCGGGCCTGTTTGAGGGGTGAATCACTAAACTCCAATCTCGGGAAAAAAGGAATCTCCTGCAAAAGGAACCATCAACATGGACCCCGAGCTCGCTCATGAAACTCCCCGAATCGGTGCTGAAAACCTTCCCCCTTTGGCCTGCTGCGCATCTTCTGCACCTGCGAGGGTTGCTTGGGGGAACAATAGTGGCTGAAACCATGGCTAATCACCTTCCCCGTAATTGGTGGTTTGGATTGGTGGCTTAGTGGGTGGGCGTGGGGGGTCTCATTTACCCTCTACAAGAACCAAGGGTTCAAATCTCGAAACCACAAATCCAAACAACCAACTAGAGATTGCTAAGCTAACACGCTTCTCCAAACACCTCCAGGCTTCAATTGTGAGGTGCTTAATATAAACATGGTTAAACTTCAAAAGGTTTCTTGACAAGGGTGGTTGTGGGTTGAATCCAAGGGTGTGGCAAATAACCCTTGTGATACCTTGGAATGGCCGATTCACTTAGGGGAAGCCCCGTGATCACATGACCTGGCAACCTAAAGCAAGTTGTCTACAGTTGCTTTAAAGCCTCCTCGCCTGACCTCAAATGGCTTTAGTATAACCCACTGTATTTTCAGCCACAGCTTTCCCAACTTCCTGGCCTGTAGTTCAAGCCCCTTCCAAAAAGCAAACACTATTGGGTGCGAATTACACTTTACATGCTGCAACAAAACAACAAATTTGGTGTCACACCCAGTGAAAATCGCTGGCCCCGCTGGATCCGAACCCATTGCCTGCGTTGAAACGCACATGACCAGCTTGGCCAGCTGTTCCGTCATGTAGGTGGACTCGTATGCTTTCGCATACCTCCGGTGCGCCTCGTTCTCCTTCAGCCCGTTCCTGGTGGCGTTCCGCGGACCCGCGGAAGCGATACCAATTTGGGTTTCCCCCCAAAGCAACCCAAAAAAAATGGATACCCTCACAAAACACAAGCCTCTGTGCAGACACATGAATACGAGCACACATACATACAAGGCCCCTCTTGGATTGACCAACAAAAATCCAGGAGCCCTGCAAAGGGTTTGGGACTTTCAGCCTCGAGCCACCCCCCCCTCCTCCCTGACACGTCCATGAGTCATTTCCTTGGGGCCATCAAAAAGTTTAGGTGACAACCTACTGACCCCTGCGAAAGTGATATCTCTGTCTTGCCAGCGGGACAACCACCGATGCTCAAAAAATGCAAACAACAAAATAATGTCAACCTTGGACTGTCCCAGAGAACCATACAAGTGTGTGAGTCAAAATAGGGGACCGCGAAACAACGGTAGTTCTCAACTCGAAAGGGTCGCTCAAAGAAACACCCGCACGCACACACACACACACAGACACAGACACAGACACACAGACACAAACACAGACACAAACACGGACACAGACACGGACACAGACACACAAACACACAGAGACACAGAGACACAGACACAGACACAGACAGACACAGACACAAACACAGACACAGACACAGACACAGACACACAGACGCAGACACACAGACACACAGACACACAGTCACACAGACACACAGACACACAGACACACAGACACACAGACACACAGACACACAGACACACAGACACACAGACACACACAGACGCACAGACGCACAGAGACACAGACACAGACACAGACACAGACAAAGACACAGACACACACACACACAGAGACACACACGCTTTGAGCATTTGTTTCGGCATAGACTTGGTCTTTGCCATACAAAGTTGTTGAAAGCACTTCAACTCTTTGGCAGGTACATCATCACTTGGCGTCCCAAGTGACATTCGCAAGTTTCGGAGGCCGCTTCATTGGACCACCGCACTCCCCAGTTGGATGGCCACCCCTTCCGCACATGCCGTGAATTACGGATGTGAGCAGCCTTTTCCAACAAGCCAAAGTCCTTAGGCACAGGAGGTCACACACACACACACACGCCCACGCCCGCGCCCACACCCACACTCGCACCCACCCCCACCCACCCACCCACCCACCCACCCACCCACCCACCCACCCACCCACCCACCCACCCACCCACCCACCCACCCACCCACCCGCCCATGAACGCACGCACCCAGGCACCCAGGCACCCACACCTCTAGTCTGAGCCGCAGCGTTGCTTCAACGAAGATGGCCGTGATGATATTGAAGAGGCCAAAAATCACCTCGGAGGAGTCATCGACTGGGGAATGTGCCAAAAGTTGTGCTGGCACGTTGCTTTCCCCTTGAAACGAGTTTACACAAATGATACATCATGAGTTCCCAGGATTCCAAGGTAACACGCACACACACATACATCCAAATCAAGGAATGCCGCCTGGTATCGGACCTGGGACTTCTGACGTTGCAGAAAGGCTCGCGGAAGGAATGGAGAGAAAGGAATTCCTAAAGCGTCCTAGATCGATCCGAAGATGTGTGCCCTCACCCCGACTACAACCAGCTCATTTCAGCCGAAAACGCTGAATTGCAATAAAAAGCGCCCAATTGGAAAATTGTTCTGGTGTGTGTCCCCAAATTTCCTCTTGTCCCGCCGATGTTTCCTCATTTTCCGGGAGAAAACTTGCCAAATCCCTCCTGCGCCCAAGAACCTGAGTATATCCAACCACAAGATGATTGCCAGTAGCGACCGCCAGGCGCCAGTAGAGCCAGGATAGAAAAGTTGTACGCAGTACAGCAAACATCACAAATACTCGCATAGCCTGCCACATCCAGGTGTCCGCTCAGTTCATGGTTTCCGTTCAAAATCTGAAACGAGCAAACATGCCTGGAGCCCTAAAAAGTGGCCAAATGGAAGACCTAGGTATCCCAGATTTGGCATAAGGGAGGCTGCAACCAAGGCACACATACCATACTGAAGGCGTAAAAAATATCGAAGCGCAAGCCAAAGCCGTCGCTGAAGATCATGGTGAGCGATCGCCCGCCTGAGACATGGGCTGGTGCCCCATATTTTTTCAAGCTCCTCTGACAGCGTGGTCTTCATATCCCATTGGATCACCCAACAAGCGACACATCTGTAGTAAAACAAACAGGGAGATCCATGCTGCTGTGCCCATACTCAATCAAATGCAGTAGCTTTTAAGTTCAACTTAAAAGATTGCACCTGCCTGTGAATTTCTGCAGGGAAGGCCCTGATAAATGGACGGTTGCCCAACGCCTCTGGCGTTTCACACTCCTACCCGAAAGGGTCCGTGACCGGATTCTTGGGTGCTGATCCGTAGGCACTCTGCAGGCGTCCTGGAGGGAAGCCAAAGGGACATCTGTTCAAGTTACTCCTGGGCGTGGGTTTCGGTGGCTTGGAGGGGAGGATGGAGAGGTGGACAACCAATCCACCGATAAGATCCGAAGCGCCGGGTGAATTGTCTGAAATCGGACATTGTGAAACGTCCATTCGAGTGTCTTTCAGCGCCCCCCTTGGCCACTACAAGTATCTTCATCTCCTGCCTATTGCTGTGGAACCCGCTGCGCTGTGACAGGATGCTGTCAAGTCAACATGTATTGCATGGTAATCGGAGCTCTCTGGCGGTTGGGACGTCAAGGGGCGTGAAGCAAACGCGTTGCACCTCGGAAAACTGAGATCATTGGGACCCACCAACAAAGCAAGGCCGAGCGCTGTCAACTCCATGCTCTATAGTTCTTCAGAACAGGATCCAAAGCTCGACAAATTAAATCGGCAGAACATCCTTTGTGCTGACGATAGCCATCCATCCTATGGGAATTCATTACCGTGGCGCTCTTATGCTGACAAGAGACTCCCACTTGTTTATGCCGTGCATTCAGCCCCATGCCATGGTCACTCCTGTGGGCCATGGTGGGCCCTTTGAAGGGAATTCCCCTCACCACGTGGTCCTTGACCATCAATCCCGAGTAAAAGGGTCGTGTGACCATGACACATGCAGGACATGAAAAGCACAAAAAGCAAACGCATTGGCCCTTACCCTCCAAACAGAACCAAATTCGACATCGACGTCAGGCCTTTGGTTGTGCAGTCCCCGATCATGCACCGGAAGATGGAGAACATACATCCAAACACTGAGCCGCAGTACTCCTCGCCATACATGTAATGGAGCTTGCCTAGCACGAGCGTGCAACCACTGCAAAGCTGAGAGATTCGGTCAGTTCAACACCTCGGAATTGCCTGACTCAGGTAAACCGGGGTTGAAGTATCTTAGATGTTACCAAAAACATCCTCTGGGCGAGCGTACCGAAAAAAGACTCAGTGATTCCAGCGTTCCAGCTGCTTCCAGCTATTGCAGCTGACCCAGCCACACCCAAACATTCGTTCAAGGACAAAACCTGAAAAGCAGCAAAGTGAGAACTGGCATACCTGAATCAGAAGAATGGTGCCCTCGAAATTGCATTGCAATTTCCAGGGGCTATGTGCGTCTGGTTTCACCTTGCGCATCTTCAGTCAGACTGCAAATGAGTCGTCTTGCGAAGGGCGCAATCCATGTAAGTGCCAATGTGGCTGTTGGTCAATTGCACTCTTTCGGGGGCTCGATCAAGGGAACGACAAAGATCCTGCCATGGGTTGAAAACCAAAGCAGGAAGTTATGATCACTCCCATTGTTATGATCACGGTGCCACAAGCGGGGAACTGTCACTTTCATGCCTTGAACAGTCCACCAGGGTGAAAGTAGATGGCACAACTCCCTTTCTGTCGAAAATATGGGGGATGACTCAACCAAACTGGGTTGGATTTGTGCAATCTGCTTTCACCCAACTGTACTGTAACGCCTATTGTTGGCCCAAGAGTTTGCAAAGCTAGGCTGACCCCAAAGCGTCGTCGGCACCTTTGAGGCTGTGCTTATTTGGGCCTTGTGCCATGAAGCCAAGAAAACTGGCCTAAACATTGCAAATAAAGGCCGGCTATAACATATGTGAATTTGCCATGGGTTTGAGTACGGTGTCTTTGCTCGCAACGTTTAGGGCACCCACACACAACCCCCCGAAGCCCCCAAGCCCCGTTCCAGTGGCCGCCCCCACAACCCGTTGGGACCATCCCCCACCACAACGGGGACTCCCACTTCACAGGCTTGGGCCCTTTCAGCTTTTGACTTGAACGTTTTTGTTTTTAATGATGCTTTCCCCTTCCAGCTACTCTAGTAGTCTTTATCTCTTTGTTTTGCATGATGGCTTCCCCCTGATACCATGGTTGCCAGAACCGTTGGGTACAGCAGGCAAGAAGAGTTTGCTGCGACGGGCAAACGCTGGGCATTAGTGGTCACATGCAAAGTGCGGTTTGCTTGCGACACGTTGGGAAGCGATTGCGGCAGCTGCAACATTCTTGCCGCATCATTCAATGAGAGCTCTGCCTGGCTAAGTTGCAAACGACCATTGTAAGGCTTTCAGGCAAACGGCCAATGCAAATATCAAGCCCACATCGCCCACATTGCACCAACATCCATCGCGGTTTAGGCAAATTGGCGCAGCTCCATTCTGGCGAACTGAGGTTGCGCCCACCGAGGCGTTTCGGAAACGATCCGCGGCAAACAAACCAAAGCTCTCAAACGGGGCCGGGACCCCTGGGTCCTTAAAGCAGCCAAGCCCAAGGTCAAATCCTGACAGGTCGCATTCTCTGGGCAGCTCCCCCGGGTCCAGGTCGAAACTATCCCCGTAGCCTAGGCTTGCTGGAGGCGAGAAGGAGGGGCCGTGGGGTTGTGACTGTCGGCAGAGGTTGCTTTCATTTTAAAGGCCCTTTCCGACTTGAAGCTTCATGGGGTTACCCTCCGACGTGAATGTTGAAAAAAAGAGCTGCTTTCCGAGCTAAATCTTTATGGGCTGCCTTCTGCCTTAAATCTTCATGGGATCACTTTCCGACACGTGTCTTCATGGGGATACTTTCCGACGTAGACAATGTTACTTTCTGACTTAAATCTCCGAACCTTGAGAAAAAAGGGCAACTGCGTGAATCAAATCATCATGGGGTTACTTCCTGCCATACATCTAGAGACTCTGACGTATATCTTCGGGGGGCTACTTATTACTTTCCGACTTAAGCCTGCATGGGGTTCCTTTCCGACTTGAAGCTTCACAGGGTTACTTTCAGCCTCAAATCTTAATGAGCGCCAGGGTAAGCGCAAGGTAACGGCGAGTTCAGCCTTCAGCTCGCAGCCCAAGGTGAATCTGCGCAGCATGTAGACGCAAAGATGCAAAGGTAAGTTTGGGTTTGCGGCTTGCAGTTGATCCACCGAAAAGGCCGCAGACCACGTCATGAAGTTGAAATCAAAATGGCCCGAGGCCACTCGACAAGCTATAACGGCCAAGAACACCTCGGAAAAGCAGGTGGCGTTCAGCATGCTGATGACGGGTCGGACCGTGTTTCGCGGGTCAGTGGCAATTCCCGGGAGGTAACCTCCGAAATCGAAGCTTGCGAGTGCAATGCTGCCACAAGCGTTGCCACACTGGGCTTGCGCAGGGGCCGTCCCACAATGTGGGCAGTCCGCATGACCAAGTTGCAAGGAGCAATACGTCGACTGGTTCGCGAATGCCAAGAGCGACCCAGCACCTCCCCGTAATTCTCATAAAAGACCGTCGGCACTAAGAAGGAGTGCGGTCGGAGATATTTGTATCGGGTCAATGCCCGCCTCTAAAAGACACCTCTCCCCGGACAGAATCTTCATGGGGTTACTTTCCGACTTCAATCTTCATTGGGTTACTGCCCAACTCAAATTTTAGTGGGGGTACTTTCCGACTTAAACATTCTTGGGTAAACGTTATTTGTTCAACTTAAATCTTCAGCTCTTTCCTCTACACTTACTTGAAAATAAACTTTCATGAGTTTACAGTCCGACTCAAATCGACGATGGGTTCCTTTGCAACTGGAATCTTCGTGCCATGGGATATTTTGCCTTGGGTAACTTTCTGCCCTAACTCTTCATGGGGTTCATTGGTCAACTCGAATCTTCATGGGTTTCTGTCCGACTCAAACTTTGTTTCTTTCCGACATCAATCTTCATCGGGGTTACTTTCCGACTTAATTCTTGGTTGGTGTAATTCCCAACTCAAATATTCTTCGACTTACCCTCCTGTCCACTAAGCTGCGAAGCCCACTTTCCTTTAAGATGGACCCTCAAAAGTGGGTTCCATGTTAGTGAACAGGAAGGCAAATCTTTTGAATCTTTAGACACAAGGACGTTTCTCCACAACCACAACTACCCATCAACTGCGCGACCTTTGGACCCGAGGCACCGCATTTCGAGAGGGCGTCGGTTGAGACCGTCTGCACCGTCGCGCGGAACCCTAAGGACATGACCTAAGCGGGCTTGAGAGAAACACGCTCCAAGTACCCGCAAGTGATTACACCTTCTCCTATGCTTATGGTGAAACTTGGCTTCAAAGTACCTCAAAGCCCCCAGTACTAGTTATGT